GCCAGCTCACAAAGGTTCCCGGGCCGCCTGGGGCTGACCCGCGAGCGAAGCCCTTTCGGACACCCGCGGCACCAACTCGCGTTTGGTTTTTGGGAAAGCCCCTGGGAGCCGGGATAATTACAAATAACGTATGTTATTATAAGATTTGGCACGGGACCTGGCTTTGCAGTGGTGGAGTGCGATGGCCAGCACAGGCTTTGCTGCTGCTGCACGTTAATTTCGGGTGCCTCCAGAATTATTCCTTGCGTAAACAAAGAGAGTCCTCAGAGTGCAAAGACCGCAGTCAAAATCCACACACCTGGGCATCCCAGCCAAGCGCTGAGTACAAAACCCATCAGTATTGCAGTTCCTGCTGTGAAAGAACACAACATATTCTCTTTACTCAGTAAAGAGAATACAGATTGAAACAACAGTTTGAATTAAACAAATACACATTGACTACTACATCTGCTCTTCAGGCTTTTGTGACACAAAACGGAGACACAATTCTCAGAAAGTTTGCTTTGGCACAGGTAAATGCCATGCTAAAACCAAATGGGATTGTATAAATTGCGCTGCAAAGCATGCCTTACCAATATACAATTGCTTCTGTAACTCCTGTTGTATGTGCCGGCTCTCCCCTCTGACATGAATGGAAAGTACATGCCCAAATTCACGTAACTATACAGAAAATCTGGGTTTGATACTTTTTCAAACGGAATGTAATGCGAGAGATGGATCTCACCTAAAAGTAACCTGGCTGAGTTTTTGTTTTATCTCTGTTTAATTGTTTTCTGCATGGTCTGTTGTTTTCAGTGTAATTATTTTTTAGTCAGTACAGAAAACACCTGGACTGGCTAGACAGTGCAAAGCTATCAGTTTGAATGGGGCTGGGATTTAACTTGTATATCCTAAGCAAAGTATATAAATACTTGGCACAGGGGACAAAACCATCTGGGAAGCCTGCCAGGAGGCAGGTGGCAAACTAACCGTATTACTGACAAAGCAGACAGCCCTCTTCTGTTGCGACTTTACATCTGCCTGCACTTCCCTGACCCGCCTGGTGCTTCCTGCCTGTTCTCTTACCTGTCAGCCAAATCCAAGACACCTGTGGGTACCAGGAGGGAGTGTCCAGGAATGGATGGGCCAAAATAAGACTTGACTTACATAAGAGGGCGTATATACGTGGTGAAAGACTCTGTATACAGGAGCTCAAGCCTTCCATGAATTTGTTTGTGTGATGTCCTCTTGGCCCTGAGCTCTGTGTCTGAGCAGGCAGAATACCCAAGTTAAGAATATTGGGAATTACTCAGTATGTTATTTCAGCTCTGCCTTCCCCACTTGCCTCGATGGCCTGAGCAGATGCTGCCCTTGCCAGCTGCTGCTCTTTGTATTTTATTTTTCTTCTGAAGGAAAAGAATAATTACACTTAAAAACCCAATAGTTTACATGACAGGCCAAATTAATCTCTGGGCCAATGCGGGGGAAAGTACATGGAATTACAAAAGGGGATGGATCTTACCTAATAGACCCGCAAGCTGGTAGCAGACTCCACAAGAGGAGAAATATTTAATTATGAGGAATGTATCGGCGCCAGTCTTGTCCTGCTCATGTAAGATGAGGACAGCAATACTGCGCACCAGCCCACTCTGCTTGTACACAAAATGCTCCAGAGATCATATGCCTCACCACAGCCTGGCCTCACCGTATTGATAAGGTTGTGCTAGCTGTGTTGTAGGGAAAATGGCTCTCCTGCAGTAAACACAGATATGTTGCAGAACTAGGATACAAGCTACAGTGCTTAAAGAAGAATTTAAAGGCTTAACTCTGCTTCTTGATTCAGACAGTGCAGAAACAGACTTGCTAATATTTGGATGCTGGGAACAGAGGAATGGAAATAACAGGCCTGGCCAAAGGTCCCTTTAATCTGGGTCCAGCAGCAGCATAAGAACAGGTCCTTTCCCGGCTGCTGTTTCCTCTCCTGGCATCTCACTGGAGACTAACCTCAGACCTTCAGAAACGGGACCCCTTGCTTGATAACAGAGTGCCAAACACTGGCCTCTCCCCCTGGCAGCATGTGGGTTTGCTAAGGATGTTCCTGACGACGTGCTGTCCCTGGCTGAGCGTTACCCCTCTCCCCTCAGGTGCTAGTGGGTGCCATGCTAAGCCTCCTGGGTTTGCAGTGTCTAAAGATCCAGTTTTAATTTTGTAATGCACAAGCTAGCCTGTGGGGTCCCAGAGAGGCAGTACTACTCCCCGAGAAAGGCCTGCTGTGTTCATCTTCAACAGCATGTTGGTATCTCACACCTACACACGAGAAGATGCTCTTGTCCCAAGCCTTGTTTTTCCCACCAGGTTCCTCACCTGTAAGGAGATGGCTCATCACTGCAAGACTTACTAGCCTTTCACTTTAACGCAAGATTTTTCTGTCGGTACGCCTCAGCTTAGTTTTCACCCATGAAACGTCAGCTGAGACAGGAAAGAGACTCTTTGGGAATGATCCACACTGACCATGCAAATTGGAGTGAAACACACATCAGGAGATTTGCATTTAAGCAAATCCCAAACAAGGTATTGAGGAGACATCACTAAATTGTAGAAAACATATTTCCGTCAGGCTCAGCTGGAACTTTACCAGTGGAGTATGAGCACTGACTTCACTCCGCTCTGGGAAGCTCATGACGGACAGCCCTTCTCCAAAGTCCTGCAAAATCTGAGAGCTGGGACTTGTCAGCAGTGACAGCAATGGAAACAGGTGAGTTTGAGTACCTTGACTTTTCACAAGTGTAAAGATGCATCTTTATGGAAATATCAGGGAAAGAACATGCCGTGCCATCCTTGGGCTCATACTTAAAAAAAAAATAAAAAAAAAATCAGACTAATTGACCGTAATAGACATGTAGCATCTTTAACATCCTAAGAATTTAATAGCATGTTCTGCCTTCTCCAGACTGAATTTATATTCCTTCACAATGCAATATTTTTCCAAAAGGCAGTTAGATCAAAGTGATGTGAAATATGATTCATTTTACTTGAAAATTATATAAACTCAGGCCTAAATTAGCATTCCCTTCCCCGATACTGCCAATAGCTAAGTTACCTGGAGTTGTAACAGCTCAGCATCAGATCCTGCTGCATAACTCACTGAAAGCAACAGGTTTAGTCATGTAAGGCTGGACTGCTAAGTTAAAAAACAGGGTTAGAGGACAGAGCCATTACATTGCTTACTTGTAAAAACTTGAGTAGAGGAATAACTGTGAGCATATGAATCAAATAACTTAATAGCACAGCGCCCATGTGTAAAAGTAAGGAGATGTGAAAGTGTTTTTCTAATGCCTTTAGACCATAGTAAAGATGTTAGGAAAACTGGACTGCAGAAGTGCAGAGCATCAGACACTTTCTAGAAGTGGTTACAGAGAAGCAAGTTCAGTTAATACAAAGAGGTTGTAGAATTTGGCAGTATCAGACTACAGAATGAAAGAATAAAAGCTGCTCACAGCTTTTCCAGTGATGCTATTTTAGAAACATCCCCATTCTAAAAATTAAATATAAGACTGTCTCCTTGGCTTCAGTCCTCCTCCAGAAGTTCTGTGCTGAATCAAGACCTCAGTCTTCAATGGGATGCAGCTAGCAAAGGCTGCATGAGTTATTGCAGGCATCGAACTACGATGGAGCTCAATGAACTGTGCTATACAGTTCAGACTTTTCCATCAAATCACAACACTTCTCTCTAAAGGAACCCTCATGCAAAGATGAGAAGTTTCCAATGCAGAAAGCATAGCTGCTTCTGCCATAGCTTCTGAGCTCCAGCTACATGTGCACACCGGCTACCCGCGCTTCCAACTGCTCTTAGTAAAAACAGCCCTAAAACGGGACTGCAGGAGGGAGTTATCTTCCTTGGACTGTGGAAAAGAGCCAGTCCCAGCATCCAGATTCCTCTCAGCTGCAAGTGTTGATATCCATTTCTGGCTGTGTCCTGGCTTGTCCACAGATACTCGCTGGTTGTTATGCAGACTCAGTGTTCACCTCTATTTTGACCATAAGCTTTTTGGAGCACTGCCTCTTGCAATGTGTTTGCCTTGTTCCCAGTCTTGGCTGAAGTCTCTCTGGTTAGTACTCAAACACCAAAACCAAGCTGAAGTTGCCCAAAATTGCAATTGCTGTGGCCCAAGAGAAAACATTTGGGGTAACCCCACGCCAGCACTGAGATTGTGTGTTGTTTAAACCCTCTACTCTTCCCTTTCTAAGCTCTCCAGGTGTATGTGCACCTGGGGACACAATGCCATATGAATGAAAGTGATAAATGGAGCCTGTGGATCTTTTCACATCCTGCAAAGCAGCAGGGTAAAATGATAAATCATAATTTTAGAGATCAAACACAGCAGCTGTGGAATGGCTGTGTTCCCTCAGGACAACATGGCTGCGTATTTTCCAAGGGATTAGCATCAAAGTTAAGTTCTTCGCTGGAAGATTTCAGTAAAAGCCCATATGGCCACTCCTCCCTGGCTCCACAAGCGTGGGCTGTCTGTTCAGGCACAGCCTGCTAGCCAGGATAAAAGAGCTGTTCCCAGGTATTATACCCCATACCTCTCTGCCCTCACTTGTGCCAAACACCTGTACACAAGGCAGGTCTCACAAAGCTTTATCCAGGCAGAGGAAGAGGACAGATGCCTCACACCACAAGTCACACAGACCCTGAGCACAGGTTGTGCTGTATTCCAAGCAGGTCAGGAAAACAG